AAATCGTTACAAAATCGTAAAAATATTCCTTTCGGCTTGAGAGAAATGAATCTGTAACAGAAACTTGTCTTGGCATTTATGTGTTTTTCTCAACACTCATGATTCGGCTTCCAATACTAAGTGCAGGTCTGTTCCCCTTCGGGCCACTCACCCCAGTGGCAGCTGCTCTGCAGTTGGCACTCGGGTGGATCTGAGGGTTACAGTGGGAGTAAATCCACCACCCTCGGACTTGCAGGCCATTGTCTGATGAGGATTCAAACCTGCTCCCTCCCTCTGGGGTAGCGAGTGTAGTGTCGGATCTAGAAGCAGACATGATAAACGTGCTTTCCCGGGCTGCTTCGGCTGTGGGCCTGGAGATGGCTACCAAGCGCAGGTGCTGACCCAGTTGCACGAGGGTGATTCCAACCGAGGCTTGTTACACGAGCCCCGCACCGCAATCGACTGTGCTCTACTGACCACAAGTCTGCTGCGTGTGCCCTGGGAAGGACGATAGCCACATTAGTGGTCCAAGAGCGCCACCTCTGCATAAACCTGGTAGATATGCATGAAGTTGACAAAGTTCACTTTCTTAACTATCCATATCCCAGGCTGGCCTGTTCTGCAAGACCATTGGTGAATTCAAGGCCGTGCAGTAAAATGCGATGGGCAGAGTCATCTATCGGTGGCAATGTAAGACCGCTCCCCCAGCCAAACCATCCACATCCACTATTCCTCACCGAGAGCACTCCCCACCCCAGGGCGCTGCTAAGTCTGAAAAACGCACTGCGAAGTGCCCCTGAGACAGGCCATATGGAAAAGAGGGAACTGGCTCTTGGGGCCGGGCCCTTCATCCAACAGCATTTAAGAACGCCATCAAACCCCTAAAGAAAGAGCATTTTCCTCTTCCCTATATGTGACAGCGGTACTTCAGCTATCGTGCCAATGATACCGCTAGTGACGGCTTTGCCTGCCTAGTTAGCGTGGATCAGTCTATCGCGGTGACTCATTTTGCAAGATCAGACTCGGCCTCCCAAGTTCACGGGTGTGTGTTTCTCCAGGGTCATCCCTGTGTCCACCTCTGTCTAACGAGAGGAGATTGTGTCCTCATGGTGAAGGATGCAATCGAGCCAGTCGTTCCAGCTGAAATGGAGAGCGGGTTTTACAGTCCGTACTTCATCGTATTCAAAAAGAGTGGTCGGCTAATCCTAGATCTGCATGTTTTGAACCGCTGTCTTCTCAAGCTGCCGTTTAGAGTGCTTACGCAGAAGTGCATCCTCCGGTGTGTTCTTCCTCGGGATTGGTCTGCAGCAATAGACCTGAAGGACGTGTACTTAATGTCTCCGTACTTCCACGCCACGTCAGTTTTTGCAGTTTGCATTTTAAGGTCGAGCCTGGCAGTACAAGTCCTCCCCTTCAGGCTCCCTCTGTCTCTGTGGGTTTTCATTAAGCCTGCGAAGGGTGCCCTAGCGTCCCTTTAGCCCGCGGGCATCCGCATGCTCAATTATCTCAACTGGCTGATTTTAGCACCTGTGGGATCAATTGATTACACACAAACACACTGTGCTTCAGCACCTCGGCCTATTGGGACTTTTAGTCAACCGAGAAAAGAGCAAGCTCGCCCCGTGCAGATCATCTCTTTTCTCGGATTGAAACTGGACTGGATCACCATGATGGCGCCCCATTTCTCCAGTGAGCCTACTCGCACAGATACTGTGTAAAGTCAGGAAAGATGAGAAACAGGTCTGTTTATTGTGCCTCTCTGGCTCAATCTGACCTATATTTCAACTCTCCTCATGATGGCCCCTCCTTGGCACATCCCCTGGAAGAAGCTTCCTCTCTGGGACAGGCACCGTTTGGCACCCGCGTCGGGATCTATGGCTTATGGTCCATAGATGGAGTGCGGAGGACCTACTGATTAGGTGGTTATTGACGTCACTCAGGCTAGAGCAGTCCCTGCGAGGCTTGCCTACGCCCTGAAGTGGAGTCTATTCGCTGTTGGGTAAACTTTTCTCTGAGAAGGACTGCGAACATGCCAGATCAGTGTGATGCTATCCTCCTTCAGTTGGCTGGAGAGAAGGTTGTCTCCTCTCCTCTGCACTGAGGGGTTGGTGTTACAATCATCCACGCTCTGGCCAGCTCTGGGGAAGCCTCGCCTATCCATCCAGTTCCTAGAGGCGCGAGATGTGGATATTAATTCTATCCTGTTCCCCTTTCATACCCACTTGGAGATCTCTCTTAGAAGAGCTCTGCTGGTCGCGTCGACATCGGTTAAATGGGCAGGTATCTCAAGGCATTTTCGACTGACCCACTCTCACGTTTTTCCTGAGACCTCGGCCCACCTAGGTACCCTAAGATCTTACAACGCTCTTTTTAGACTAGATAATGAACCTGCAAGCGCTGCCTATGGAGGAGGCAGACCCAGCTTTTTTAATTATGTGTCCTGTTTGAGCTTGCCATATTGTACAGACCACATACAAAGCTTTTAGATTCGTGTCTTTCTTCCCCGCTAACCATCTATTTTATATGAGTACTCCCCTATCTTAGGGCTAGTCCATATGTCTTCTTGCCACCAGGGGTCCCAACTTGGGCAGCAGGTGGCCTCCGCAGCGTCCTCGCTATCGGGACTGCACGCTTTCCAAACGTACTGTTGTATTTAAAATTCCTAGAATTTAACTAGGTGCATTTTACAATTCCCGAATAATATATCTAAATCTGTAAAACTTCTTTATAAGTGCAATAAGTAAGGGCCGGGGAACACTTTCGAAGACTGCACCTCTGGTGATGCAGGTGCATTCACGCTTTTGGCTTGGCATAACCTCTCATCAGGGGCAAAGTAAGGTTCAATCATTGTGGCGTTTTCCACAGATTTCCCCATAGTGGAAGTTTCTACATAGCAATAAAGTTTCCCTGCCGAAGGGGAAAGCAAATGTTACAAAAGTAACCCTTGTTCCCCAAAGGGGGCAATTCTATGTTTCTTTGCCACAATGATTGCCCCTTAGCTTGCTCTCCAGCTAGAAAAGTATGCCTCAGCTTGGCACATGCAATGCTTAAATACAATATTAATTGAAAGTAGCGCCAGCTGTGCATGCTGACGCTGCCAACTCATTGACATTTTATTGGCCCGATTGTATACTCTTTCAGAAACTTGGATTCTGACGAAATCCCCCATAGTGGAAGTTTCCACATAGCATTTCCGTTTCCCCTCTCTGGGAACAAGGGTTACTTTAGTAACCGTTGCATTCTGCATGAAGCTGCACACATGCATTTGTTTATTTACCATGGTTGTTTTTTCATTAAGGTTGACACTGTAATATTACTGTTTACTATATTATATTTTTACTTACTTCATATTCATATAACTTATCCACAGCTAGCCATTTTTATACTTGTCAAAACTAACATAATTTGGCTTGTTATATACTATTGCTGTGAGGCAACAGTGATAACCACTAAGCCACCATGCCGCCACACATTTATTACAGTTTTTTACAGACTAGGACACATTTCTCAATACTTAGGTCACTTTTGCAAAACTCTTCACACAGTTCTCCTAACCGACTTTCAGCTTGGCAAAGCAGTTCATTTCACATTCAAAATGCACTACAACTAATAAAACACTTTATTCAGGTCTCAAATAAACTTTCAGAACACTAGTAAAGGTTGGCAGCTGACAAACACACTTTGTTATCCACAAAACAATGACCTAAAAAACACTAACAACATGTAGCATTACACAGTGTTTTCTTGTGTAAAATAAGAACACATCTGTGTTTATAATTGCAATATTTAATGTTTATAACTGCAATATATGTTACTGGAATAAATCAGGCATGATGCAGAATTCAACAATATCTTAAGTAGTTTATTTATTTATATTTTTTGCACTAAATAATTCCAAAATACAAGAATTTGTGAACACACCAATGTACTATTGTATCTGATACAGGTACAATAGTAATGCTAATCTGGCTGGTTAAACTACAACTACATTTTTAGATTTGAAATATGTTTCAATAAAATATTGCTGTTGAATTTTTATGATAATTGATCCGTAGTTTAGCCCACATAGACTATTGTTGTGCTCACTGTGTGAAGAGTTTAGCAAAAGTATTGAGAAATGTTTCCTAGCATCTGTAAAAAGCATCATATATAGATATATGTTAATGCAATGGTCAGAAATCTGCCACTTTCACAATCATATATGACAAGGTTATGAATGGTTTTAATTCATCCAAAAATATTTACTGATTTAATTTACAGCATGCATAATGTAGCAGATATAAACTTAATTATATATTTTATTAATAACTGTGGTCTTTATTATTATATATACTACACTGCAAGTCATAGGCAACAATTCATTTGAGAGTTCAAAAATGCAAAATAATAATAATAAAAAATAATAATAAATCAATACTCATGGTTCATGATATAACAACATGAATTGTCAGTGCAAGAAACCAAACATTACTTACAATGTTACCTTTAAGCCACAGCCTCAGGAAAATCTGCTTGTTTCCCTCAAACTGGTTGGAGCCAATTACTGTAGTTTACATAATCATGTGATGATGTTATATACAGTATACACAATTAAAATAATCAAAATCAAAAGGGCTGCAGCAGTGATGAACAATGTATTGTAGTTTTATTAATGAAAAATTGTATTATTATTTGATATCTTATAAGCAAACTGTAATTTTTGTTTATGCCAGCTAATAAAATTGTCACTGACAAAATTGAAAACACTCAGAGCCACAAAAAAAAAAAAAAAAAAAAAAAGACAGGGTCAAAAGGAATCCAAGCAACCAACATTTCAGGAACAAACTAAGCCAAGTTCAGGGAATTGATGCACAAAATTAAGATGTTTATCAAATATCAAATCCACTATCATAGTGTGATCTTGAATTTCCTCAGTAACCAGTTATTCAGGCAAATTTGCATAGGTACTTTCCCTTTCTTAGTGACGTGTCACTTCCTTTTTTTTTTGTCTATAAATTAGTTGACAGCAATGTCAGTACCTCAGACCTTTTAGTTCAATAATTCTTTTTCAAACATTGAATCACGTGCAAACATGTCTCGACTAGATGTCACAGAATCTTTTCAGGGCATCAAGTTTCCTGGGCACATGCATACTGAAGAATCCCTGAATTTTGCAACTGACTTCAAGTTTGAAGAGACAGATACTCTGATAGTCACCTACCCCAAATCAGGTAATAACAAAATTATTTTCTGTATTTATTTTTAAATAGCAGGTTTTCATGGTTTGTGTATTTCATCTTTCATTCATCTTTTTTCCAAGCAAGAAATTGCTCATGAATTCATTTTCTCCTTGATTGAATTATTTTGCCTTATAGGAACCACATGGATGCAGGAAATCCTCACTCTGGTTTTGAGTAAAGGGGACCCGACTATTGCCCAAAGTCAACCTAACTGGGCTCGTGCTCCATGGCTTGAGCAGTACTACTGCCCTGAAGTTCTGAAAGCATCTTCTGGACCTCGCATTATTACTACACATCTGCCTTACCATCTGCTGGCACCAGCCCTGCAACACTGCAAAGCAAAGGTAAGAGGATGGGCAAGACACACACGATGCACTGTTTAGTTTTATTAATTAAACTCATACCCAATGATGGTTTTACTACTATGTACATGAAAATGTAAATATGTAACAATTGTTAACACATTTTGGCCATTCACTAACACGATAACCACTGTTTACAGTCAAGCCTGAAATTATTCATACCCCACAAAGTTAACTCAAAACTGTAAGGCAACTTGCTGGACAGCAGATTTTATTTTGACTTAACTTTTAGCCCAAGTACTACACTTAACTCTATTTAAATAAGTCAGCTTAAAAACTATTCATCAAGTTGCCTTACAATTTAAATCTACTTTTTTATAGTACTTTGTGCTTAATAGTACCATATACCATATAAAATTGTTTATAATTACAATAGGGGCAAACTCTGAAAGATTAATATTTTAGATATGAGATGAACTCAACCACTTGCTGTTATTAAATCAAGTCTTTAAAAACTTATTTGATCACACTTTCACTATTAATAAACCATTAACTATAGTTTACCTTTTGCTTTAATAAACTTCTAATTTGCAGCTTATGAATATTTATTAAGGTGTTAGTTAGGTTTAGATATTGGGTACGATTAAGAATGTGAAATAAAATCCTGCATGTATGCATGCATATATAAGTACTAATAAACAGCCAATATCTAAACAACAAATAACAACTTCACTCGCTATTTGTGTTTATTAGTATTTTTTTAACAGTTCAAGCTATTTAAATGTCATAAGATGGTGTGCTGAGATGCGGTTATTTCTCTGCAGGCTTTGGGTGTGAGTTCACAGAAACCCGCTATACTGGCCTGGGGTGCATTTCCTACAGACAAATTCCATCATGAGCAATGGAACTTTTGACAATAGTTAAATAATGATGCTTTTGAGGAATACACCCTGTCATGCATATTAAAGAATTTTCAGTTATGATGATAACCAAAATGTATTTCTGTTGAATTTACTGTGGTGACATGTTTGCAAGTAATAATTGTTTGTCTTTCCACAGGTGATATATGTGGCAAGAAATGTCAAAGATGTGTGTGTTTCATATTACCACTTCCACAAGATGGCAAATTTTCTCCCTGACCCAGGAACGTTCCCTGAGTTTCTGAAGAATTTCCTAAAGGGTGACGGTTAGTTGATGTTTATATTATCAGTCAAATATTCCCATAGTGTTTTTTTTTTTTTTTTTGTCTGTTGTAAAAATAATTTATGGCTCTTTTTTTTTTTTTTTTTTTGCAGTGCATTATGGATCTTGGTTCGATCATGTCAACGGCTGGACCGGTCATGCTAAAAACTTTCAAAACTTTTTTTACATCACTTACGAGGAAATGTTTCAGGTAGGATTACTTCATTTATCAGTATTTGGAAACCACATACATACTGTATATGACCCTGGACCACAAAAACATAAGTCATAAGTATTATATATTAATTTATTTATTGAGATTTATATGTCATCTAAAAAGTTAATTTAAATCTGATTAAGTAAGCTTGGCATTGATGTGTGGTTTGCTAGGATACATGTCAATATTTGTCCAAGATACAACTATTAAATCTGGAATCTAAGGGTTCAAAAAAATCTAAATACTGAGAAAATCACCTTTAAAATTGTGTCTACAAAAATATCTTCATGGAACATAACATTTACTTACCGTAATATTCCAATGTTCTTTGACATAATAGTGCCCTGTTTAATATATGTTTGACAAAATATACCCCTGCAACATAATAACTGGTTCAGTGATCCTGAGTTACATATACACAGTAAAAATTCTATGACAAAAAGGCATGACAACAATTTTTAAATGTTACTTTAACCTAATTTAATAAGTTAATCAGGTTACCACATTTTTTTTTGAGCTGTACAAAGTTTAGCGTAATATTTTTTAAGTTGCGACAACAAGCAAAAGTAACATGATTCAAAAAAAAAAAAAAAACTGTTGAATGTTGAAACAAGCTTAAGTTTGCTACTTTTTATGATTTTATCAGGATCTTCGTGGGTCTCTTCAGAAAGTGAGTCATTTCCTGCAGTGCACATTATGCAAAGAAGAGCTGAATCTTGCTGAGAAGCACTGTAGCTTCAATAGCATGAAGGAAAATGCCATGGTCAACTATACCCTCATCCCCAAGGAGATCATCGACCACAGCAAGGGAAAGTTCATGAGAAAAGGTATGTTGCTAGTATAACACTCAAAATAAAAACTGACGTTTAGAATTCGTATGGAAAAATCCTTTCTCTAAACATTAAAACAGTGATGTTTGCTGTTTGTTCAAACTTCTTGTATAAATTAAGCTGAAACAACACAATTCTTAAGGTCTTTTGGGGCAACTTGTTTTTTTTCTATTCAATCAACTTAAATTTGTTAAAACTAATGTTAACTGAATTCCTTCATGTTGTCCTAACACAAATCTTTTGTGTGGAACCCAGCGAACTTTAATAATGTTTAAAAAATGTCGCTTTTTAAAATCTTCCTAACAGTAAAATCTACCTATGTTTCAGGTAAAGTGGGAGACTGGAAGAACATGTTTACAGAGGAGCAGAGTGGTCTCGTCGATGAGGTTTACTTTTCACAGATGGCAGATTCCTCACTGCTGTTTCAATGGGATCAGCCCGGGGAGACTCTAGTGCCCCTGATAAACATTAATAATTCTGCATCCAGAGAGATCCTTCTCCTCACATAAGCACTTGCCACTGTTATATAGTATAACATAATTGTATGTGTAATAATGTTTCTAATTACCTCCATAATGTAAATAAGCTAAGCAAAATAAGCTGATCTATTTTTGTTTATCTACTTGGTGCTTTTAACTTAATAATATATAGCTTAATAATATATATATATATATATATATATATATATATATATATAAAGATTTCATCTCTTTAAGAAAATTTTAAAAATGTAGCAGATGTTTAGTAAAAGTTACAAATGTATAGCCCCTTAAAGAGACTATAAGAGAAATGTAGCAGCATTTACAACCTAAATAGCTTAAGAGTTGCAAATTTAGTTTAATGCAATATTACTTAGATTATAAGTAAAGTGGTATAGTCATTTTTGAAGATTAACAAACATTTATTAAGAATTTATAAGAATTATTATTAAAATGTTTGATATTGACATATGACCTCATATGTCGTATGTATGTGTTTTTGTTTTATCAAAGAGAAATATATTTATCATCTGAATAAATAAAGTTTTTCATTGATGTATACATTTAATTAGAAATGACAATAATTGGCTAAAATACAGCCATTTAAAAATCTAGAATTTGAAGGGTTCAAGAAAACAATGATGAGAAATTGGGTTTTAGTTGTACAAATTAAGTCTACAGCAACAAATAGTTTTATATATTTACAGTAAAATATCATCAAGAAACCTGATCTTTACTTAATATACTGATTTAATTTTTGACATTAAAGAACCCATACCAAGACCCATACATTGTATTTTTGGCTATTTTCAAATATATACCCATTTGACTTAAATGTTGTGTGCGGGTGCTCCAGGATCTCATATCATGTAATTTACAATGAAATGTAAACAATTGAAATGTAATTGACTCATTTGTTATACTATAGCTATGCAGAGCCTTGAAGCATAAGGGTCTATTTACCTTGCTCTTTGCTGTTCATTATGGCTTGGAAAATAATGTTAAATAAACTAAATTGACAATGTCTGCTGTTCTGGTTTTTGTGGTCATTTTAAATGAATAAATGGTGTGACGATTAACACTGTTTTGACCACTCAGGGGTGTTGAGTAGAGCTAGTTAAGCTCATCTGATGTTCTTGTGAGCATTAGGCTAATCTAAAAAGCCAGATCTTTAAAATGCTGCTCTCTGTAATGAATAGAGTGAAGTGTTTAGAGGCGGACTACTGCACCTGTGATGCACTTCTTGTGATGGATGGCACTTGAAATCTGCATTTGGATGGAAGAAACAACATTTTAAACTCTAGCTGAGTCTGCCAATCTCACGTGTGTAAGACACGGTGTTATGCTCTGTACAAATGAACTGGCAAGCTGTGGGGATAGATTTGTTAAAGATTTGCTCCTTTCAAATGAAAACGGAATTTTTGTGGAATATGTTAACTTTAAATTCATAGTTGTGTTTCTTGTTTGATTTATCAAGTCTGATTTGTCATGATGAAAAAAATATAGATATTATTCATAATTTTATATAAAATAAATAGCACTGGAGGCAGCATGGTGGCACAGTGAGTAGCAAAATCTCCTCACAGCAAGAAGGTCGCTAGTTCGAGCCCATGCTTTGTCAGCTGGCATTTCTGTATTTTGCATGTTCTTCCGTGTTGGCTGTGGGTTTCCTCCGGGTGGATGTGAGTGAAGGAGAGCATATGGGTGTTTCCCATTGATGGGCAATGGCTGGAAGGGCATCCACTGAGTAAAACATGTGTTGGATAAGTTGGCAATTCATTCCACTGTGGCAAACCCAGATTAATAAAGAGACTAAGCCGAAAATAAAATGAATGAATGAATGCATAAATAGCACTTTATGAAGTTGGCCTATTCCTATTCTACAATGAAGATAAATCAGTCTTGCGCTTTTTGTATATTATTAAGAGTTTGCTTTGTCACTTTATTTGGGTAACACTTTATGTTGATGGTCCATTTGATTACTGGTAGACTGTCTGCTTAATGTCTGTTGATACTGCTCCTTCAACAGACATTTAACTGACTATAAGAAACTTTGCAAGTACATGTCGACTTACACTAATAGTAACCCTAACACCAAACCCAACCTAACAGTCTACTTAATCTAATGAAAATTAGTTGGCATGTAGATGCAATGGAATTTAATTCAACAAACAAACCATCAAAATAAATTGTGACCAAATGAAAAAAAGAAAAATACAACCCAGTCTCATTTTGAAAATGTAGCCCTATATATATTTCTGGAGAGTGACAAATACATCCCAGGAGGTACATTTTTTTGCAGTTTTTGATTTTGCAAATCCACCAGAGGCCGCTGTGTATGCTTTTTGAAATCGTACATTTTCCTCGCAAGTGCCATTCGCGCCTGCTGTTCTGGCATAAATCCACCAGAGGCCGCTGTTGACTGACTGACAGACAGACAGATCAACAGACCGATCGACTGACCTGCCCTCCTCCTTCCCTAAACCCAACCAATAGTGGATCTTTTAAATCCTTCCTCAGGTCATAAAAACACATTACTTACAATAATTTCCAAATGCTTTAAATATATGGAGGTAAGCCCAAATTAAAACTGCATCAAACCGCCCGTAGCGTTCACTTTAAAGACAAAATGCAGCTATACATACTTTTGGCTACATGATTTGTGATCTCCCGAACTATATAGGGGACATTTCAGAATAAGTTGAAAATGTTGAAAAAACTGTGAAAGAACTGATAAAGTTAGTGATCCCTAACACTTTATCAAATATCAGACTTCAAACTACACAAATCTATCAATTTTGTCTAAAAGGTTCAAGAAAACCTTGAGTACATTTTTTGAGATTATTACAGATTTGTGTGTTGAGCATCAATTAAGACAATGTTAGCACCTGTCAGCTTTAATTTTGGCGAAAAGTAGATAATTTTGAGCTTTTGCCAGCTAATTTCATCATCTTAGTTTAAAATCATTATCTGCCTGTCCTGTGATGACGTGTTTCTCATTATTATTCATCGTGGAGTTTTATTATTCTATGAGAAAAGCTTGCTTCTTAATTATTCATAACTGCACATGCTTTCCGAAGACAAAGCAGACATTTCAAGCTAAGAGACACAATGAGTGAGACCACATCTGCACATGGCACGCAGTATTTTGCAGTTCCTGAAGGGTCGTATGTGTCTGTTTCCACGAATGTGTTTGTTTTTCACAGTAATGCTTTCAGGGCTGATACAGCAAAGCTGTTGGTTTTTGTTGGGAGAAATGTATGTGAATTGTCTTTTATCAGTTGAGTTCATTACCGTTCAGACACATGGGCTACATCCGTGCTGCTGTGTTCACCCATGTTTAAAATCTCCAGATTACCGCCAGGGCTAATGGTTGAAATAGACAGGGCAAGAGACCGGCTGTACTGCGCCAATGTGTCTGCATTCAGACCCGGGGATTGAGGAGGAGAGAAGCACTCTTCATTTAGGATTTATATAAACACAATTATCTTTATGATGATACAGCACACTGTGGTTATGTGTATATGAAATTATGAATAACAAATGTAGCAGGGCATTAAATTACTTACTGTTTATTTCTGTGCATTTTTACTTTGTAAACTATAAAATATTGGGTCTCCCAAAGGTTTGCATTGTTCGCTCCCCTCTTTTCTCCTTGCTCTGCTAGCCACGTCCACTCCTCCATCTGCTCACAGCATTCACACCCATCATGAAGCACTGTTGGAAAAAAATTTGAGGTAGACTTGAACTGAAACAGAAGGTTTCATGGCCCTTTAAAAAATGTTTCCTAGAATCTAAAACATCCTACCCCCGTGTGTTGTAAAAAGACACTAAAGCTGAATCTGAAATTAGTCATTTATTCACCCATTTATTGTTTTATATGGGTAAGTACTGTACAAGGATGTAGAGAAATAGCAAGGGAGGTTAAGTACAAAGTGGTCGTCTAACACTCAGAGCGTATCACACAAGGCATTTGCATGGCATTTAGAGCCTGTCATCTCCAATCAATGGCTTTTGCCAAAATAACTGCTAAAAAGGGAACTCGAGAAAATCTATACAGGCAAAGATATACAGGGCTGTATAAACACAGTTCATTTTTTCTTAATTATATAGACAGTGGGAACTTTTGTAAAGCTCTTTTTTGGCAACAATACATGTACTAAGTTTTTGAGATTATGCAAAAATCAAAAGTGGAGAATAGAGAGAAGGTCTCTTGGTTAAGGGTCTTGATTTATCAAACAAATCCACAGAGAATTGTTGTGTTTTCAAGCACACAGACCTCTCAGTGTTGCACATTTCATATAGAGGATTTTGCACTGGGTAGTTATGGGACCTAACCACTTGGCCGTTCCCCTGAGACCTAAACTTTCCCCATTGTTTTCTTGGTTGCAATTGCTCAGCTAGTTGGAATTCTGAAGTGATGTATGCCAGCCAACACTAGCATCAATTTCAGCATTCAACAAAAATCAATAATTGATGGATGAAAATTTTTTTTTTCCATTTTGTTTCCATTAAAGACAGAATATAGACATATAAGTAATGTGAACATGAGTTACATATCACTAAGGCTAAGAAAATAAATTTTCCTTCGGCTTAGTCTCTATTTCAGAGGTCGCCACCGTGGAATGAACCAACAACTATTCCAGCATGTTTTACGCAACGGATGCCTTCCAGCTTCAACCCAGTATTGGGAAACACCCATACACACTCATTGACACACAGACTTACAAACTACGGACAATTTAGCTTACCCAATTTACCTTTCAACAGTTCACACTTAGCTGATGATTGATTATAAAGCTTGTTTGGCAAGTTGTCCCGGGAGAGAGCCCTGAGCTTGTAAGATCATCAAGTCCCTCCCATTTGCAAGGCGAGAGGGGAATTTGAGCTCAAATAGATCTTGAGAACTCCCCTGCTGTACTAAAGAACAGGAACAGATTATGCTCTTAAGAGATAACTACTTACTAGGAGCATGTCCATGGTGCCGTTTTATTTGGATTAGTCAATGTTGCATGTTTTTAGACGGTGGTAGGAAACTAGGTAACCCCGGGGAAACCCATGTGAGCATGGGGAGAACGTGAACCCATTAATATTGGCTGGCTTTGTTAAGACTACAATCAGTAACGTTCTTGCTGTAAGGCAACAGTGCTAACCACTGGCCACCACGCCACCCATCTAGGAAAGGAGGAGGAGTAGGGGTGGAAGGGAGGTTCTTCAAAACGAAGATGGCTGTCATATGGAATTTAGGGTATTTATAATGGCTTAGGAATCATCTGATTGGTGAATCATAAATTGAATAATGCGGGGGCGTCTGCAAGCAATCATAAGCTTTTGGAAGCAGCCTTTAGCCCAATCCCATTTCTATTTTTGTACCCCTACCTCTTCCCCTTGGGCCTTGCATCAGAGTGAAACACAGTGGTGCTGTAGGTAGTGCTGTGACCTCACAGCAACAGGGTCGCTGCTTCAAGCCTTGGCTGGGTCAGTTAGCGTTTCTGAGTGGAGTTTGCATGTTGTCCCTGCGTTCGCGTGGCTTTCCTCCGGGTGTTCCGGTTTCCCACAAAGTCCAAAGACATTCAGTATAGGTGAATTCAGTAGGCTAAATTGTCCGTAGTATATGAATGGGATTGAGTGTGTATGGTTGTTCCCAGAGATGGGTTGCAGCTGGAAGGGCATTTGTTGCGTAAAACATATGGTGGATAAGTTGGCGGTTTATTCCGCTGTGGCCAAAAAATGAATGAATGAATGAATGAACTTTTGCTCATAGAGACATCAATAATCAGCGTATGATTAACAAATGAACAAAACTCACAATCAGGATACTAAAAGTGACAAAATAATCAACGTCAACATAAACAACAAAATCAACAGCAAATAATGAAAACTGTAGCATCAATACGCCATAGAATGTATTCATACTGCAATGCATGCTGGGATTTTTGTACTTTGCCACATCCAGCAAGTGTAAGGTGTTGGCCAGATCTGGGCCAGAATAAAAGCAAACTATGACCCATAATAGGGTCAGTT